ACTGGGGAATGGAGGGGACAGTGTACTGGTAGTGACAGATTATTGGTATATCGGGGAGAAAGTGTGCTAGTTGTGACAGGTAACTTGAGTATAGAATGGACAGTGGCCTAGTAGTGAGAGGACAGTGTACTGGTAGTTAAAAGTTATCGGTATATGGAGGGGGACAGTGTCCTGTTAGTGACAGATTACTGGTGTATTGAGTGAACAGTGAAATATTAGTGAGAGGTTACCGCAATATGGAAGGGAGCGTGTACTGGTAGTGAAAGGTTACTGGTGTATGGAGGGTACAGTGTATTTGGAGTGACAGGTTAGCGGTGTATGGAGAGGACAGTGTGCTAGTAGTAACAGTTTAATTGTGTATGAAGTGAACAGTGGCCTAGTAGTGAGAGGTTACCGGTGTATGGAAGGGACAGTGGACTGGTAGTGACATGATTCGGGTATATGGAGGGGACAGTGTACTGGTAGTGACATGTTAATTGTATATGGAGTGGACAGTGACCTGATAGTGAGAGGTTACTGGTGTATGGAGGGACAGTGTACTGGTAGCGACAGGTTACTTGTGTGTGAAGTGTACAGTTTCCTAGTAGTGAGAAGTTACCGGTGTAAGGAGTGGACAGTGTACTGGTAGTGAAAGGTTACTGGTGTATGGAGGGAACAGTGTACTGGTAGTGAAAGGTTACTGGTGTATGGAGGGGACAGAATACAGGTCGTGACAGGTTACCGGTGTATGAAAGGTTAAGTGTAGTGTTAGAGAGAGGTTACTTGGGTATGGAGTGGACAGTGTGCTAGTAGTGAGATGTTACCGGTGTATGGAGGGGAGAGAAGACTTTTAGTGACAGGTTACTTGTGAATGGATTGCACAGTGTACTGGTGGTGAAATGTTACTGGTGTATGGGGGGAATAGGGTACTGGTAGTGACAGGTTACTTGTGTTTGTTACCAGTGTATGGAGGGTACAGGGTACAGGTCGTGACAGGTTACCGGTGTATGAAGGGAACAGTGTACTGCTAGTGAGAGTTTACCGGTATATGGAGGGGACAGTGTACTAGTACTGACAAGTTACATGTGTATGGAGTGGACAGCGTACTGGTAGTGACAGGTTACTGGAGCATGGAATTGACAGTGTACTGGTTGTGACAGATTACTGGTGTTTGGAGGGACAGTGTACTGGTACCGACAGATTACTGGTGTGTGAAGTGGTCAGTTTCCTAGTAGTGAGAGGTTACTGGTGTATGGTGTGGAAAGTGTACTGGTAGTGAGAGGTTGCTGGTGTATGGAAGGGTCAGTGCACTGGTAGTGACAGGTTACTGGTGTATGGAGGGGACAGTGTACTGGTACTTAGAGGTTACCGGTGTATGGAGGGGACAGTGTACTGATAGGGAGAGGTTATTGGTGTATGGAGAGGACTGTGTACTGGTAGTGAAATATTACTGGTTTATGGAGGAAATAGGGAACTGGTAGTGACAGGTTACTTGTGTATGTTACCTGTGTATGGAGGGTACAGGGTACAGGTCGTGACAGGTTACCGGTGTATGGAGGGGACAGTGTACTGCTAGTGAGAGGTTACCAGTGTATGGAGGGGACAGTGTACTAGTAGTGACAGATTACTTGTGTATGGAGTGGACAGTGGCCTAGTAGTGACAGATTACCGGTGTATGGAGGGGACAGTGTACTGGTAGTGATAGGTTACTTGTGTATGGAGGGTCAGTGTACTGGTAGTGAAAGGTTACTGGGGTATGAAGGGAATCTGCTACTGATAGTGACACGTTACTGGTGTATGGAGGAGACAGTGTACTGGTAGCGACAGTGTACTGGTGTATGTAGTGGACAGTTTCCTAGTAGTGAGATGTTACCGATATATGGAGGGGACAGTGTACTGGTAGTGACATGTTTCTAGTTGATGAAGGGGACAGGGTACAGGTCGTGACAGGTTACCGGTGTATGGAGGGGACAGTGTACTAATAGTGACAGTTTAACGGTGTTTGGAGGGGACAGTGTACTGGAAGTGACAGGGTGCTCGTGTATGGAGGGGACCGTTTCCTTGTAGTGAGAGGTTACCGGTGTATGGAAGGGAGAGTGTACTGGTAGTGACTGGCTACCGGTGTATGGAGGAGACAGTGTTTTGTTAGTGACAGGTTACAGGTGTATGGAGGGGACAGTGTGTTGGTAGTGACAGGTTAACGGTGTTTGGAGGGGAGAGTGTACTGGTAGTGAGAGTTTACCAGTGTATGGAGGGGCCAGTGTACTGAGAGTAACAGTTTACCGGTATATGGAGGGGACAGAGAGCTAATAGTGAGCGGTTACATGTGTATGGAGGGGACTTTGTGGTCGTATTGACAGGTTACCGGTGTATGGAGTGGACAGTGTACTCGTAGTGACAGGTTAGTGGTGTATGGAGGGGACAGTGTACTGTTAATGGCATATTACTGGAGTATGGTGTGGACAGTGTACTGTTAGTGACAGATTACTGGAGTATGGAGTGGACAGTGTACTGGTAGTGATAGATTACTGGAGTATGGAGTGGACAGTGTACTGGTAGTGTGAGATTACTGGTGTATAGAGTGGACAATTTCATAGTAGTGAGAATTTACCGATGTATGGAGAGGACAGTGTCCTGGTTCAGACACATTACCGGTGTATGGAACGAACAGTGTGCAGGTAGTGACAGGTTACTGGTGTATGGAGTGGACAGTTTCCTAGTAGTGAGAGGCTACCGGTGTATTGAGGGGACAGAGTGCTAATAGTGAGAGGTTACATGTGTATGGAGGGACTTTGTGGTGGTAGTGACGGGTTAACGGTGTATGGAGGGGACAGTGTAATGGCAGTAACAGGTTACCTGTGTATGTAGGGGACAGTGTAGTGGTAGTGACAGGTTGCTTGTGTATGTAGTGGACAGTGTACTGGTAGTGACAGGTTATTGGTGTATTGAGAGGACAGTGTACTGGTAGCGACAGATTACCGGTGTATGGAGGGGACAGAGTGCTGATAGTGAGAGGTTACAACTGTATGGAGGGGACAGTGTACTGATAATGACAGGTTACATGTGTATGGAGGGGACAGTGTACTGATAATGAAAGGTTACTGGTGTATGGAGGGGACAGTGTACTGGTACTGATAGGTTACCGGTGTATGGAGTGGACAGTATAAAGGTAGTGACAGGTTACTTGGGTATGGATGGGACTGAGTACTGGAAGTGACGCGTTACCGGTGTATTGAACGAACATTGTGTTAGTAGTGATAGGTTACTGGTGTATGGAGTGGACAGTTTCCCAGTAGTGAGAGGTTACCGGTGTATGGAAGGGACAGTGTGCTGGTAGTGACAGGTTAACGGTGTATGGAGGGGACAGTGTACTGGTAGTGAGAGATTACCAGTGTATGGAGGTCCAGTGTACTGATAGTAACAGGTTACGGGTGTATGGAGGGGACTTTGTGGTGGTAGTGACAGGTTAACGGTGTATAGAGTCGACATTGTACTGGTTGAGACAGGTTACCGGTGTATGGAACGAACAGTGTGCTAGTAGTGACAGGTTACTGGTGTATGGAGTGGACAGTTTCCTAGTAGTGAGAGGTTACCGGTGTATGGAGGGAACAGAGTGCTAATAGTAAGAGGTCACATGTGTATGGAGGGGACTTTGTGGTGGTAGTGACAGGTTACCGTTGTATAGAGTGGACAGTGTACTGGTAGTAACAGGTTACCTGTGTATGGAGGGGACAGTGTAGTGGTAGTGACAGGTTATTGGTGTATTGAGGGGACAGTGTACTGGTAGCGACAGATTACCGGTGTATGGAGGTCTCAGTGTACTGGTAGTGACAGATTACTGGTGTATGGAGAGGATAGTTTCCTTGTAGTGAGAGGTTACCGGTGTATGGAAGGGACAGTGTACTGGTAGTGACAGATTACTGGTGTATGGAGGGGACAGTGTACTGGTAGTGGCAGGTTGCCGGTGTATGGAGGGGACAGTGTACTGATAATGACAGATTACTTTTGTATGATGGGGACAGTGTACTGGTACTGACAGGTTACCGTTGTATAGAGTGGACAGTGTACTGGTAGTAACAGGTTACCTGTGTATGGAGGGGACAGTGTAGTGGTAGTGACAGAGTGCTTGTGTATGTAGTGGACAATGTACTGGAAGTGACAGGTTACTGGTGTATTGAGGGGACAGTGCACTGGTAGTGACAGATTACTGGTGTATGGAGAGGATGGTTTCCTAGTAGTGAGAGGTTACCGGTGTATGGAAGGGACAGTGTACTGGTAGTGACAGATATTGGTGTATGGACGGGACAGTGTACTGGTAGTGATAGGTTGCCGGTGTATGGAGGGGACACTGTACTGATAATGACAGGTTACTGGTGTATGAAGTGGACAGTGTACTGGCACTGAGAGGTTACTGGTGTATGGAGAGGACAGTGTAAAGGTAGTGACAGGTTACCGGTGTATGAAGGGGACAGTGTACTGGTAGTGACAGATTACTGGTGTATGAAGGGTTAAGTGTACTGGTAGTGGCTTGTTACTGGTGTATGGTGAGGACAGTGTACTGGTAGTGACAGATTACTGGAGTATGTAGTGGACAGTGTACTGGTAGTGACAGTTTAATGGAGTATGGAGTGGACAGTGTTCTAGTAGTGTGAGATTACTGGTGTATAGAATGGACAGTTTCCTAGAAGTGAGAATTTAACAATGTATGGAGAGGACAGTGTCCTGGTTGAGACAGGTTACCGGTGTATGGAACGAACAGTGTCTTAGTAGTGACAGGTTACTGGTGTATGGAGTGGACAGTTTCCTAGTAGTAAGAGGTTGCCGGTGTATGGAGCGGACAGTGTGCTGGTAGTGACAGGTTAACGGTGTATGGAGGGGACAGTGTACTGGTAGTTAGAGGTTACCAGTGTATGGAGGTCCAGTGTACTGATAGAAACAGGTTACCGGTGTATGCAAGGGACAGAGTGCTGATAGTGAGAGGTTACATGTGTATGGAGGTGACTTTGTGGTGGTAGTGACAGGTTATTGGTGTATAGAGGGGACAGTGTACTGGTAGTGACAGGTTACCTGTGTATGTAGTGGACAATGTACTGGTAGTGACAGGTTATTGGTGTATAGAGGGGACAGTGTACTGGTAGTGGCAGATTCCTGGTGTATGGAGAGGACAGTTTCCTTGTAGTGAGAGGTTACGGTGTATGGAAGGGACAGTGTACTGGTAATGACAGATTATTGGAGTATGGAGGGGACAGTGTACTGGTAGTGACAGGTTGCCGGTGTATGGAGTGGATAGTGTACTGATAATGACAGGTTACTGGTGTATGGAGGGGACAGTGTACTGGTACTGACAGGTTACCGGTGTATGGAGAGGACAGTGTAAAGGTAGTGACAGATTACTGGTGTATGGATGGGACTGAGTACTGGAAGTGGACAGTTTCCTAGTAGTGAGAGGTTACCGGTGTATGGATTGGACAGAGTGCTAATAGTGAGAGGTTACATGTGTTTGGAGGGGAATTTGTGGTGGTAGTGACAGGTTACCGGTGTATGGAGTGGACATTGTACTTCTAGTAACAAGTTACTGGTCTATGGTGTGGACAGTGTAGTGGTAGTGACAGGTTACCGGTGAATAGAGGGGACAGTTTGCTGGTAGTGACAGGATAACGGTGTTTGGAGAGGACAGTGTACTGAAAGTAACAGGTTACTGATGTATGGAAGGGACAGTGTACTGGTAGCGACAAATTACTGGTGTATGGACGGGACAGTGTACTGGTAGTGACAGATTACCGGTGTTTGGAGGGGACAGTGTACTGGTAGTGACAGATTACCGGTGAATGGAGGGATCAGTGTGGTGGTAGTGACAGGTTACCTGTGTATGGAGGGGACAGTGTAGTGGTAGTGACAGGTTGCTTGTGTATGTAGTGGACAGTGTACTGGTAGTGAAAGGTTATTGGTGTATTGAGGGGACAGTGTACTGGTAGCGACAGATTACCGGTGTATGGAGGTCTCAGTGTACTGGTAGTGACAGATTACTGGTGAATGGAGAGGATAGTTTCCTTGTAGTGAGAGGTTGCCGTTGTATGGAAGGGACAGTGTACTGGTAGTGACAGATTACTGGTGTATGGAGGGGACAGTGTACTGGTAGTGGCAGGTTGCCGGTGTATGGAGGGGACAGTGTACTGATAATGACAGGTTACTGGTGTATGATGAGGCAGTGTACTGGTACTGACAGGTTACCGTTGTATAGAGTGGACAGTGTACTGGTAGTAACAGGTTACCTGTGTATGGAGGGGACAGTGTAGTGGTAGTGACAGATTGCTTGTGTATGTAGTGGACAATGTACTGGTAGTGACAGATTACTGGTGTATTGAGGGGACAGTGCACTGGTAGCGACAGATTACCGGTGTATGGAGGGCTCAGTGTACTGGTAGTGACAGATTACTGGTGTATGGAGAGGATGGTTTCCTAGTAGTGAGAGGTTACCGGTTTCTGGAAGGGACAGTGTACTGGTAGTGACAGATTAATGGTGTATGGAGGGGACAGTGTACTGGTAGTGATAGGTTGCCGGTGTATGGAGGGGACACTGTACTGATAGTGACAGGTTACTGGTGTATGAAGGGGACAGTGTACTGGCACTGAGAGATTACTGGTGTATGGAGAGGACAGTGTAAAGGTAGTGACAGGTTACTGGAGTATGTATGGGACTGAGTACTGGAAGTGGCAGGTTACCGGTGTATGAAGGGGACAGTGTACTGGTAGTGACAGATTACTGGTGTATGAAGGGGACAGTGTACTGATAGCGACAAGTTACTGGTGTAAGGACGGGACAGTGTACTGGTAGTGACAGATTACCGGTGTTTGGAGGGGACAGTGTACTGGTAGTGACAGATTACCGGTGAATGGAGGGATCAGTGTGGTGGTAGTGACAGGTTAACGGTGTTTGGAGAGGACAGTGTACTGATAGTAACACTTTACTGATGTATTCAGGGGACAGTGTACTGGTAGTGGCAAGTTACTGGTGTATGGAGGGGACAGTGTACTGGAAGTGACAGGTTACCGGTGTTTGGAGGGGACAGTGTACTAGAAGTGACAGGTTATTGGTGTATGTACTGGACAGTGTACTGGTAATGACAGGTTAGTGGTGTATTGAGGGGAAAGTGTACGGATAATGACAGGTTACTGGTGTATGGAGGGGACAGTGTACTGGTACTGAGAGGTTACCGGTGTGTGGAGAGGACAGTGTAAAGGTAGTGACAGATTACTGGTGTATGGATGGGACTGAGTACTGGAAGTGACAGCTTACCGGTGGATGGAGAGGTCAGTGTACTGGTATTGACAGGTTACTGGTGTATGGAGGGGTAACTCTACTGGCAGTGGCATGTTACTGGTGTATGGTGTGGACAGTGTTCTGGTAGTGACAGGTTACTGGAGTATGGAGGGGACAGTGTACTCGTAGTGACAGGTTACTGGAGTATGGAGTGGACAGTGTACTGGTAGTGTGAGATTACTGGTGTATAGAATGGACAGTTTCCTTGTAGTGAGAATTTACCTATGTATTGAGAGGACAGTTTCCTGGTTGAGACAGGTTACCGGTGTATGGAACGAACAGTGTGTTAGTAGTGACAGGTTACTGGTGTATGGAGTGGACAGTTTCCTAGTAGTGAAAGGTTACCGGTGTATGAAGGGGACAGAGTGCTAATACTGAGAGGTTACCTGTGTATGGAGGGGACAGTGTAGTGGTAGTGACAGGTTGCTTGTGTATGTAGTGGACAGTGTACTGGTAGTGACAGGTTATTGGTGTATTGAGGGGACAGTGTACTGGTAGCGACAGATTACCGGTGTATGGAGGTCTCAGTGTACTGGTAGTGACAGATTACTGGTGTATGGAGAGGATAGTTTCCTTGTAGTGAGAGGTTACCGGTGTATGGAAGGGACAGTGTACTGGTAGTGACAGATTACTGGTGTATGGAGGGGACAGTGTACTGGTAGTGGCAGGTTGCCGGTGTATGGAGGGGACAGTGTACTGATAATGATAGGTTACTGGTGTATGGAGAGGACAGTGTAAAGGTAGTGACAGATTACTGGTGTATGGATGGGACTGAGTACTAGAAGTGAGAGGTTTCCGGTGTATGAAGGGGACAGTGTACTGGTAGTGATAGATTACTGGTGTATGGAGGTGTAAGTGTACTGGTAGTGGCATGTTACTGGTGTATGGTGAGGACAGTGTACTGGTAGTGACAGATTACTGGTGTATGGAGGGGACAGTGTACTTGTAGTGACAGGTTGCCTGTGTATGGAGGGGACTCTGTACTGATAATGACAGGTTACTGGTGTATGAAGGGGACAGTGTACTGGTACTGAAAGGTTACTGGTGTATGGAGAGGACAGTGTAAAGGTAGTGTGAGATTACTGGTGTATAGAGTGGACAGTTTCCTAGTAGTGAGAATTTACCGATGTATGGAGAGGACAGTTTGAAGGTAGTGACAGGTTACTGGTATATAAACGGGACTGAGTAGTGGAAGTGACAGCTTACTGGTGGATGGAGGGGTCAGTTTACTGGTAGTGAAAGGTTACTGGTGTATGGAGGGGTAAGTATACTGGTAGTGGCATGTTACTGGTGTGGACAGTGTTCTGGTAGTGACAGGTAACTGAAGTATGGAGTGGACAGTGTACTGGTAGTGCGAGATTACTGGTGTATAGAATGGACAGTTTCCTAGTAGTGAGAATTTACCGATGTATGGAGAGAACAGTGTCCTGGTTAAGAGAGGTTAGCGGTGTATGAAACGAACAGTGTGCTAGTAGTGACAGGTTACTGGTGTTTGGAGGGGACAGTTTCCTGGTAGTGAGAGGTTACCGGTGTATGGAGGGGACAGAGTGCTAATAGTGAGAGGTTACATGTGTTTGGAGGGGACTTTGTGGTGGTAGTGACAGGTTACAGGTGGATAGAGTGGTCAGTGTACTGGTAATAACAGGTTACCTGTGCATTAAGGGGACAGTGTAGTGGTAGTGACAGGTTGCTTGTGTATGTAGTGGCCAGTGTACTGGTAGTGACAGGTTATTGGTGTATGGAGGGCTCAGTGTACTGGTAGTGACAGATCACTGGTGTATGGAGAGGATAGTTTCCTTGTAGTGAGAAGTTACCGGTGTATGGAAGGGACAGTGTACTGGTAGTGACAGATTACTGGTGTATAGAGGGGACAGTGTACTGGTAGTGACAGGTTGCCGGTGTATGGAGGGGACAGTGTACTGATAATGACAGGTTACTGGTGTATCAAGGGGACAGTGTACTGGTACTGAGAGGTTACTGGTGTATGGAGAGGACAGTGTAAAGGTAGTGACAGATTACTGGTGTATGGATGGGACTGAGTACTGGAAGTGAGAAGTTACTTGTGTATGGAGGGGTAAGTGTACTGGTAGTGATATGTTACTGGTGTATGGAGAGGACAGTGTAAAGGTAGTGACAGATTACTGGTGTATGGATGGGACAGTGTACTGGTAGTGAGGGTTACTGGTGTATGGAGGGGTAAGTGTTCTGGTAGTGAGAGGTTACTGGTGTATGGTGAGGACAGTGTACTGGTAGTGACAGGTTACAGGAGTTTGAAGTGGACAGTGTACTGGTAGTGACAGGTTACTTGAGTATGGAGTGGACAGCGTACTGGTAGTTTGAGATTACTGGTGTATAGAATGCACAGTTTCCTAGAAGTGAGAATTTACCGATGTATGGAGAGGACAGTGTCCTGGTTGAAACAGGTTACCGGTGTATTGAACGAACAGTGTGTTAGTAGTGACAGGTTACTGGTGTATGGACTGAACAGTTTCCTAGTAGTGAGAGGTTACCGGTGTATGGAGGGGACAGAGTGCTAATAGTGAGAGGTTACATGTGTATGGAGGGTACTTTCTGGTGGTAGTGACATGTTACCGGTGTATAGAGTGGACAGTGTACTGGTAGTAACAGGTTACCTGTGTATGGAGGGGACAGTGTAGTGGTAGTGAAGGGTTGCTTGTGTATGTAGTGGACAGTGTACTGGTAGTGACAGGTTATTGGGGTATTGAGGGGACAGTGTACTGGTAGCGACAGATTACCGGTGTATGGAGGAAACAGTGTACTGTTAGTGACAGATTACTGGTGTATGGAGAGGATAGTTTCCTTGAAGAGAGAGGTTACCGGTGTAAGGAAGGGACAGTGTACTGGTAGTGACAGGTTACCGGTGTATGGAGGGGACAGTGTACTGATAATGACAGGTTACTGGTGTATGAAGGGGACAGTGTACTGGTAGTGACAGGTTACTGGTGTATGGAGAGGTAAGTGTACTGGTAGTGACAGGTTACTGGAGTATGGAGTGGACAGTGTACTGGTAGTGTGAGATTACTGGTTTATAGAGTGGA